ATATATAAATAAAACACACACACAAATATACATACCAGGATGCTGCTCCCTCAGCTGGGGGAAGTTAGTATTACAGTAGAGGACAGGGGCGACAGTAGCAAGCTCTCCCAGCGTTTCTTCTTTCTCCCACTTCAACATGCCCCTCTGAGCTGTCGACATCACATCCTGCGCGCCCTCTCCAGCTGACTGCTGATTGGTTGATGTCAGCACAGGGGCTGGGCCTGTGGATGCATTGAGGACAGGTCCTCCAGTGGGGGGCATCCTAAAGCCTGCTGGAGCCTGAGCACCGCTGGTCATCATGGGAGTGTTTAGAAAGTGAGGAGCAGCTCCCATCAGGCCATTCATCAGCGGCAGACGAGGGAACGGAGCAGCTGCTCAGAGACAGAGTGTGTTTGTTACTGTGACATCACTAATGATCAGTCTAAATACTGTAAAAACAACTGATGGACCAATAATGAAATTAATATCTAAGACAATCTGTGAGTGTACCTGGGTGGTGGGTGGGTGTCTTGCTCCCAGCAGCACTGTGTGTGTGTTGGTTGTTGCTGCTGTTTGGACTGAGAACAGCAGTGAACACCTCCTCCACGTCCTTCCCCTCCAGCTCTACACACACACACACACACACACACATTAGTTTACTGTGCTCGTGGACAGTTTTCAGTTTTCAGTTGAGCATGAGTCTCAGTCTTACCTGGGATTTTGTAGAGTTTGTTGAGGATGGCGCCTGAAACAAAACAAAGACGTTACTGATCACGAACTGATTAATAAGTGATCAATAACTAATCAATACTCTCAAACTGTGTGTTCATTTTCTGCTGGATTTCTTCTACACACAATTTCTAAAACTTCTTTGGTTCCACTCACCATCAGTCACCATTTTGTCCAGCTCAGGACTCAAGATAGCATCCAGAGGTTCATCCTGCACTGCCCTCTGGCCTTGTCCACCGCTTCCTGTTGGCTCAGAGGTCAAAGACGAGTCGTCGGCCATGGAGCTGATGTCCAGTCCAGCTGAGAGAGAGACAGAGAGAAGAAGAGTCAGTGTTATCTGGAGGAGGAGAAGAAGAGTCAGTGTTATCTGGAGGAGAAGAAGAAGAGTCAGTGTTATCTGGAGAAGAAGAAGNAGAAGAAGAAGAGTCAGTGTTATCTGGAGAAGAAGAAGGATCAGTGATTTCTGGAGAAGAAGAAGGGTCAGTGATTTCTGGAGAAGAAGAAGAAGAGTCAGTGTTATCTGGAGGAGAAGAAGAAGAGTCAGTGTTATCTGGAGGAGAAGAAGAGTCATCATGTCTTACCAAATGGAGAGGGGGAGCGCTCCACCTGGAACTGACCTGAAAACAAATACAGAGTTATATTTTTTAAATACTTTTAAGTGCAGCCTGCAACACTTCACTCTCCTGCCATGTGGCGTCAGGATTTAGTTGTCCAGCAGTGGCGCCCTCTGTTGACCAGCTGACAAATATCACAGAACTATCTTTACTGCTAATAAGGATCAGTTTTAAAGTCAAGACTTTTTTAAACATACAGTAGACTTTAAATTTGTGGTCGGTTGATTAAAATAGTTTCTGTTTGGAAATTTGCTGTGACGTGTTGGAAGATGTGAGTCATCTCAGCAGCGTTCATGCTCATCATCCTGTGGACAACACTGTGATGTTTCTGTTGGGACTGAAACAGAAAAACTTCTGGGAGATTAAGTTAAATGTTTACATTAAAATCTAACATCAAGTCTGAAGGTGCAGCTTCAGCTCCTCGTATCTACAAATAAATACATTTCAATAAATGTCAGTAAATATAGAAACAAATGAAGTGTGTGGCCTGTGTCATAGCTAGTTCAACTTTTTAATCTCATCTCACTTATTATCTCAGCTGCTGGTGTTAGAAAACACTCTGCTGGAAATATTCCACTCCTGAGTTCAACACCGTGTTGAGAAAGATGAAATGTCATTCCACTTTTCATAAAACATCACATGACGAAAGGAAACAGCGTGACTGTGGAGCTATGGTGACGTGTACCTGTGTGTCCTGTAGCCAGGATGTGAGGGTCAGTGCTGAGGACATCAGACAGATCCACTAGAGCTTCCTCTGAAATGGCTGGATGGTAACACACACACACCACACACACACACACACCCACACACACCCACACACACCCACACACAC